ATATATATATATATATATATATTCGTCACAGTTCCCAAAATAATGTTAAGTAACAATGTAAAAAAATTATGCATTTTATTTTACGCTGCATTCAATTCTACACGTTTTCTTACGTTTTACTTCACAATTATTTAATATTTTTTAATAGTTATTTTAACAAATTTACAAGTTTTTTTGTCGCTCCGAAAGAATCGATAATAATCTCTACAATTCCGATCACTTCTCTATCTACAACCCTCTGCAATTTACAATAATATATAATTAACGAATCGGAGTATGTCTGAATAAATAGAAACGCGATTACCGTGGCGCGCGCGACGAACTTTTCAGGGATGGTTTAGTCGGGATGAGATTTCCGGCAAAGAGCCTCTCCATCCGGTCATCGACCTCTTACGCTACGCTACGCGCGCGCTAAGCTATCCGTAAATCTTTTCCTCGTAAACTCTGCTGCTGTTTATCGCACATCCGGCGTAACATACATACGCGTACACGCACGCACACACGTGCCGTAAACGCAAGTCCCGGGATTCCTGCAAAAATCGGAGGGGAGAACAGCTGGTTGGGGTTCCACGTCTCCGAGTCTCGTTCCTGACGTTACGATGATGAGCGTGTAAACTCTTTTCTTCTCTCTTCCTCCTCCCTCTCTTCCTCTCTTTCTCTCTCTTTCTCTCTTGAGAGGAGAGGGCCGGGGGAAGAAGGGTAGATGGTAATTCCTACGGAAGATTGGCTGCATAGTAGCGATACCAAGGCGATATACGTCGTCTACTTGTTGTCGCCGACAACGATGGTAGTGGTACGTAGTATAGTGACGATGAGGGTGGTGGTAGTGCACAAGGGTGGCGTACGTCGGGGGGGAGGGGGGAGGGGTGATACTGTACAGGGATGTATCTCCCCTCGTGCAAAAACGAGGGTGCCGGCGGCACGAGCGTAGGGAGGAGAGCGATAGCAGCGGTGCACGAGAGGATGACGAGGGGTGAGGAGGGGAGAGGAGGGGAGAGACGAAAGGGGTTGAGAGGGGAAGGAGAATCGCCGCACATGCGCCTGCGTTCGGCATCGACCCGATGTCTAGGCAACACCTGGTAGCGCCCCACGTGCCACGTTAGGGTGGCACCAGCGTCACTCGGCACTCCGCACAAGACAAGCCGAGCCGCGCGCGATCCATGCCCTCGGTATCGAATATCCCACTGGCCTTTCTACCCCCTTCTCCTCCTCCTTCCCGCTCCCGCTCCCTTCTCGTCCCCCCCTCCCCCCCCCTCCCCGGAATATCTCGTCTACTGACCCACGCCAACGGAGGAGAGAGACGAGATAGACGTCTTTCGACCCTCCTGAATTCTACGCCCGATGCACGCTCCGTGGATGCCCGGCGCCGCGACGAGGGAATTCCTTTTTCGGGGTGGGGCGCGCGGCTGGAATTTCGATACTCGAGCTCGCGCGGGTGGGTCCATGGCTGCGCAAACGATTCGGGAAAGGGGCAGAAACTTCAATATGCCGCGTAATGCTCATATTACACGCGTTGTGAAACGCGATTCCGCTGGAAAAAAAAACGGACGGACAGGGGCGGAGAATGTTTTCAGCCTCGTAAAAGGTTTTCACCCCTAGATTTTTATGCAACGGGCAATGTCTATAATAAACCGACCGTACGAATGTAAATGCGAAATTCAGATCGGCCATTCCTCCGAAGGAGATTCCGGAGGATGATGATGATGAGGAGGAAGCTAGTTTTAGGCAGGAGGATAGAGATAAATGAGATGAGGAATACGTTGTTATTTTCTGGAGGATAAAAATACAACTCCTGCCGTATACGATTCCTACCACGATCCATTTCCTCCTTCCCTACCATATCCTCTCCGTGGAAATTAGTTTCTGTGCATCCCCACTTCTCAACCCTGCTTTATCGACACGGTTAAACACAAGGGAACCTCGATATTTGAACTCGATAGAGAGAATTGGGAATTTCTCCCGCGAATAATATTTGGTAATTGGAACTTTCTCGTGGAGAGAAATAGAAGGATGTTACACATAGAATGACCTAGAATCCTCGTTCGTGCTCCACATGGTAAGGCCTTTCGATCCTATTTGGATCCTGTTTTCCTCTGCCTCAAATTCACCGTTGAAAAGATCCGGATTAGGGGAATATCCAATTATTTTTAATTAAATTACAATTGATTGAAACAGAAGTGGCAAATTAGTTTTTATTTAATTACTATATAAAATGTTACTACGGTGATACATATATAGATACAGTCTCAATTATTTTTTTTATTTATTATATTGAAAGAAGTTAAACAGAATATCGGAAAGATGTTATTTTGTCCAACCTACAAAAATGATAAATTAGCTTGTGAAACAAGATTACGTTTCCACATACTTTTTAAAATTTCTTTTATGTTAAAATTACTTACATTTAGGCTTAACACGTAGATATAATGTAGAGCCTACGAGACACGTTGGTTTTCATCTTGAATGTATAACAGAAAATTTAGCGCTACAATTTAAACCTCTCTATTATGATAAAGAATTATTTCCATTTTATGGAATTATCGTGTGAGAGAGAGAGATTATCTTTTGCATAATATCGGCGCGATAGCATCTCTCTCTCTCTCTCTCTCTCTCTCTCTCTCTCTCTCTCTCTC